GGGGGGGGGGGGGGTTGTCCTCGGCCCCGTGAGAACTAGTATAAGTCTTATTTCTATACATTTCCCATGTCACAAGTATTAGAATCTATAGGTACGGCCACTGGATTCCTTTTAATTTCATAGTCCATGAGTCCTTTCAACAGCCACAGAAAGCTTAATCAAGAACCTATGAAGTACTAAGCCCTCAACTTTAGAGAGAGTTGAGGGGTATTCAGTACCTTGCAGGGTCAGACCAGCAAACTTTAGGGCTGGATTCTGTTTTCAATTGTGTAAATCCAGAGTGACTCTGTAGCTGTAAGTGGAGCCACTCCAACTTTACTTGGAGTAACTGAGAATAGAATCAACTCCCGGAAAGAGAGAGAGAGAGAAGTTGTCTCAACCGAATGGCATTCATTTGCAAATGATCTTTTGAAAAAATGGTCTTAACTCCTACATGTGCCTTATCCAATAAAATATTAGCTCTTTGGTGAAAGAAGAATTCCCTCCTATCCTTCCCTCCCCCATTTGGTTTATTCTTAACTCTTTTCCTATATACATATTGTAAATATTAAGTAGGTGAAATTCATCTCTTTGGGATTTGTGTGACATCTTTAACAGATGAGCCAAAGGAAAGCAACTTAAATAGAGGCCAAAGCCTCCTCAAACTTGAGTTTACAAGCAACATGTCCTGTTGCTGCAAAGCCAGTTCTTTGCTGGACCTTTGAAATATCTAATATTGCAAACATGGTGATTCCTTTTTCTTCTGAGTGTGTGGTTTGCTCATAAACACAAGGGCAAATGCTTGAAGCCTTGTTAACAGAATACAGTCCAATCATGTTTCTGAGCTTTTAATTGCCTTGGTCTCGTGCAAAGTGTAATGTGGGTTTTCTTTGCTGCTTGCCATCTGGAGGGTGGTGAAAGAACCACCTCTTAACTCCCTGGAAATACGATCATGCTGCCTAGGGAGATGGGGTAAAATTCACAGTGTGTGCATCCTGTTCACAGAAACGGGAGCCAAACCTGTAATTTGCCATATTTGGAAGATTGAACATGGTGTGCCTGACTGACTAAAAGTCACGGAGGGCTTGAGCCTGCAGCGTTCTCAAGATCCTCCGCTTCACTTGGCCAAGATTTTCATAAATCACTGGCGATCCTCAACACCTCAAGCTGGATTTTTTTTCAATGGAGCCTGAAGAGGAGTTGCAGTAAGTTGGGCTTCTCTCTCAGCTCTCTTGAAAAATCCTAGCCTTGTTTTTTTGAGTAGTCAGCTGAAGCCACCTTGAAGAGGCCTGGTTTACAGAGGACAGGTGCTCAGCACTTTCTGAAAACCAAGATGGCTAAAGTGAGATACTCAATCCTTTTAGAAAATCTTAGCCAATGGTCACTGAGGGACTCAAGGAAACCACTGCAGGTCATCGTTCATAACAGCACCGTGAACCATCTTTGCGCCAAGAACCGTAATTCCAGAAAGTTGACTCAACGCGCTGTCTGAACCGTTGTGGCTTATTTTTTGGAATTGTGTATATTTTTACATGTAATGTTTACACTAGATTTCTAAGATGCTAACAATGTTTTTAGAGAATTGTTAACCTGGACTAGCCAACTTCTGTTCTGCATCATGTTGTACGTGATTGTTTTGTGTCGTTTGTCAGGTTTTTGTTTCATTTTTTTGTTTGTTTTTTCTTGCAATCGTATCGAATAAATTCTCATCTCGTGCTTGGTGAGAAGAGCCTGGATACCTTGGAGAAGTGTGTGTGTTTTTAGGTGGGTGGGAGAAAATGGATCTCACTCTTTCTGTTTAAAAACCCTTAAGCCTTTTGTGAAATGGGAGGGTTTGAACAAAAAAAAAAGTGGGTAAAATTCTCCCTCTTGCTGAGGCCTAGGGCAAGCCATACATACTAGATAACTTTATATTCTTTATTGTGTTTTCCAGCTACAGAGCCCTGCCAGGTCTTTTACAAAGGAGGTTTCATTATCCCCACTTAGGAGAAAGCTGAGGCACGAAGCAGTGAATTGCCTCTGGTCACCCTGCAGGATAAGAGTAGTGCGGCTAATAGAGTAGTTTTATCCATCCCTCTGTCTGCAGTATATAGGGGTAGACTTTTCTCTAGGCCTTGAAGCTGTAAGTCCTGGACACAGCACAGCAAGCGGCCTACCTGCCACGCCCCAAGCATGAGCAAGTCCTTTGCAGTGAGCAATGGTGAGTCACGAGTCCCTGTCCTTTTACTCCCTATGCAGGAGCTGAGGGACGTGAGGTAGGACAGGCTTACGTGAGCACAGCTCTCGTCACGCTGCTGAGGACTATGCCAGAGGGACGCAGCAGCCATTCCGCAGTGCTCCTGGCATTTCTACTGCAGCCTCTAGTCGGGGACCAGCACTTGGCACTATAAATCCCTACCCCAAAGAGCTTCCCAGCAGGGTCAGTTCTCAGATCTTCATCAGCCCCAGTCCAGTTTCCCTTGCTTCCACCCTTTTTCCAGGTGGGGAAGACTTAGGTCTTTGCATGCATTTGTGTAGGCTATGTTACATAACACGTGCCTGCTTCTCCTGACTGGCACAGTTACAGTGCCTGCATGCGTTCTCCCTGACCCCAAACATGAAAGCTTTGTAACAGAAAGGATCAATTTGTCTGTGTCTGAGCAGTTTGCTTCTCCCTGTGTTCTTATATTGGTGGCTTTTGTATTGTCTGCTTGTGAATTAGCCCTAATTAACAACCCCAGGACAAAAGTGTAGGGTTGGAAGTATGTTTTTCCCACAACAACACACTAGCTTTTGTAACCAACTTGCTAATTGTGGTGGAGCTAGAGCATGAGCTGTATTGATCTCTGCAGTACGTATGTGGGCTCTGCCTTTGCTCATGATGTATTTGATGCTGAATTCTGGCATGCTGGAGATTCTAGTTAAATAAAAGTCAAACTGATTGCTTTTCCCGTCTCCATCTCCAAAGGGCAGTTGAAGGTGTTGAGCCAAGCGCCTGAGTGTGATGCATGGTTTTGAAGTTGCCTCTTTTCTTCCAGTGCATAGGAACCATTGGGTCCTGTAGTATCACTAAGCCACCTCATCCACTATCCTGCTCTGCGTGTGTGGATCTGTAGGAACTCCTGGTGCCTGCAGTTGCTGTGTTGGACAGATGAGGAAGGGAGCCCTTCCCACCCTTCACAGTCAGCTTGTGCCCTGAGTATGAGATTTGATTGCCCATGGCTCGGAAACAGCTTCTCCATTGGCAGAATGCACAAAGCCGTCTGGATAACAGGTGCAGGCTTAACCAGACAGGCTAGGAAGAGACATCAAAGCAGTTGCTGCTGCCTTCCTGGCTCACCAGCTGCCTCGACAGCACTCTGACCCCACGTGTGGTGTGTGTGCTTCTGGGAACTGGGAAGGAGAGCCATGTGGCTCTTTCCTCACAGCACTGCTGTACAGGAGCAAGGAGGACTGTCTATGACAATAGGCATTATTCTCCTCCCAGCCACAGCAAGATGCAACGGTGGGGGACGAGGGCAGAGGCAACCATATGTCCCAGCTTCTCTAGGGAGCTCTGCCACCAGCCTGGTTCCCACTCCGTACGGAAACGAGATGGATTCTGCCGTTGTGCACATGGAGGAGCAGGTCAGGGTGACTTCTACCACCCCAAGAAATGCAGTGGTTTGATGCCTGTTGGGGAGCAGAAGCTGAGAGCCAGGACCCTGAGGAAAGCTGGGAAGAGGCCTTTGGTGGAGACCCCAAGCTGTGGCTTTTGGTCCTGTGGTGCCCCTGGAACTGCTGTCAGCTTGCAGATGAGCAGCAGGCTGCGTCTTCCCCTCCCGCACATCACAGCTTGGCCCCCCTGCACCATGAGCACAGGGGAATTCATTGCTGGGCCTTTCCTCTTCTCCATTTTGGCAGTGAAGGGGCTGATCCTACTGTCCCCATCCAGGCGTGACTCATGTCAGGCGAGTGCCGCCTGTCTAGACAGGACTGGGTAATAAGGCCCTAAATAAACCCACAGGACCAGCTGGGTCTCAGCCTGGTGTGACGTGAGTCAAGGCGGCTCCACTTGGAGAACGGAAGTGCAGCAACAGTTGTGGGCAGCTAGCGATACGGTGCTCTGAATAGGCTAGCCGCTGCCGCTGAGCCCTTGTTTTCAGGGGCACCGAAATGACCTCATTTTTAAGGAAATATATTTTGTTAACTATTTTGGAGCCTTTAACCCTGAAAGCGCAGGTCAAACTAATGAAAGCATCGTGGGAGTTGGGACTAGATGGGACCTCCTAAACACTGAGTAGTTTGCAGGCACCCACGCCTTGTAACCTGGTTCATAAACTTAATGAGCTTCATTTAGGGTATTCAGCACTAGACTGGGATCAGGA